TGACATCCACCCAGCCCACACACTAGGATGTAAAATGTCAGCAAATTGCAATCTGTCATTCTTGACTAATGAATCTGTCTATAAAATTTGTAACATTTTTAAGTTCTAAATTTTATTATAATTATTTCATATAAAATGGAATACAATTTAAATAGAGGGTCTTGAAAAGAAAGGAACATGAAGGACTATTTTATAGTCTGTTTATAAGGTCTCAGTTTTCACACAAAATATCTGATTCAACTAATATGAAACATTTTTTAAAAAGATTCTCTGAAGAGAAGAGACTTCAAAATTTTTGTCATTCCCTCATCTTGATCGTGTGATATCTCCTCAGTGATGATGTCTTGAAAGGTGGCACTTCAGACAGAGAGTACAGTGTCAGTCATTTCTTCCTAGTCCTAAATCTTCTAAACTGAGTTGAGAAAACTAAGTCCCAGCACATTGATTCAGTTACATCTTTAAGCTGTTTTTACAGTATAAATGGGAGCTCCTTTTTAGGAGGATGAAGGAGAATAAATATTCTCTACAAAGGTCTTGGAAGAAATGAGTCTTTTTCCCTTAAAAGGAGGTTGAAGTATGAATGTATGTGGTAGCTAGAATATTGGGGAAAATGAAGACAGTTAATCTATGTCATTGGCAGACATAAATAATAGGAAGACAACATAACTGAATACAGTTTTGAATATTTTATTTATTGATTCTTACAGTAAGTGTTTAACAAATGAGCTAAATTTTAAAATAAGATGTGCAGATAGTTCAAGGTAAAGAATTCCCAGTCAATACCATCAAAAAGCAGCTAATGAATGCTGCAAGTTATTCTGGAGATCAGGTTGCATGCTGTTAGTGGCATCTTGAAATGTGAGTGACTAACAAAAGGAGAAAACATCCCACACACTTCTTTATTTAACACATTTTTACAGTGCCCCCGAAAATCCAAGTGGAGAAAACAGAGCAGACACAGAAAATCCTTAAGGCAGGGTCAGCATATGCAGTTTGGTGAAGTCCTGCATGTGTCTGCTGGCCTTTAGCTCCCAGTTTCATTGAGCTTTGAGAGAACAATGTACAGAAAAAATCCTTTTCCAATGTAGACTGGTTGGTTAACTGAGAGACTTCCTAAAGCTGATCTCTTACTTCTGTAAGGGGATAACATTGGTAAATGACCAAATCAGAAACAAAACAAAAAAGAGACCAAACAGCAGCAGCAGCAGCAGCAGCAGCAACAACAACAACAACAACAACGCACACACATATGCACAAACTTGCTTGGAGAAAATAAAAAAGAAGCTATTACTTTAGTCTTAACTCCTAGAGAGACAGAAAATTCTAGAATTCATAGGCACAAATAACTTTACTTAGGATTGAACTAGAATTCATATTAACAATGTCTTAAAAATCTCTAATGTGAGAAATTAGTTATCATGGTTGAAAATGCTATTAGCTTCCTGCAGGATGTAAACACAGATACATTTACAGAGGTACATCTGAATTGCATCTTGCATCCAGCACATATACTTAAATTTTTACAAAATATGCAAATAATTCTCATTCTTAGGGAATATTTGTTGTAAATAGTCTATTTGTATAGCATATAAGTTTACAATGTGAGAAATGAGAATTCATAAGGAAGTAAGCCATAAAAAGTGAGATTGAGTTAGCGCTCCTGATTCACAAAAACCACATGTATATAAACTATCAGGTAAACGATAGAAATAACTGAGATCAATGTATATAAAAAATAAAAATAAACAATGTATTCCCAGGTGGTGGTGGCACAGACCTTTAATCCCACCACTTGGGAGGCAGAGGCAACTCTCTGAGTTGAAGTTTGCCTGGTCTATAGAGTGAGTTTCAGGACACCAAGGGCACATAGAGAAACATTGTCTCAAAAAAGAAAGCATGAACATATGAGTGAGCTAGAGACTATTGATGTAGCTGAGAAGATCTGATGAAGAACCGCAGAAACCTGTTGGAGTTTAAGAAAGATATTATTGAAAATAGAATTAGTAAACTAGAAAGCATATCTTAGGAAATATATAAAATGGAGCACAGAGGTAGGGAAGAAATGTGAAAGATGGAATCCTGGAGACCCTATTTAGTTGTTATAATAGAGGTAAGATGCAGCCTTTTCTAGCTAGGAAAGTAACTGGAGAATGGGATAAAAATATACTAGAAGAGTCAATGGCCACAGCTTCGTGGATACCTGATTCCATGTCTGAAGCAGGGAAAAACAAGGTGAAGATGAAATTGTGCTGGGACAACAAGCAGGAAGCAGTGAGAAACCTCAGATGATCTGCAGCCTGAGATGGGAGCTGGTTTGGCTCTGATCTGTCAATTTTGGTATTGTGAATATAGGAAAAATAGTGATGCAAATAGCAAAAATGAATTAATATGCCCATAGTAATACTCAAAATGAGAGGAAAGAAGAAGGATGACTTTCTCCTTACTGAGAAAGCCAGTTTATAAATGATTGCATAATAGAATTATAGCACAATGTTACTAGTAAATGATTTAGGCAAGAGATACCAGTAGATACTTAAATCTTACTTAAAAAGACATTTTTCAGTGCATTTCAGTGATCTAGAATTATACAAAATCTGTTCTCTAATTACTGTGAAATTATATTAGGAAACAACACAGAGATAATTTAGAATTCCAGAACTTAGAAAGGAACGTTATAGAAGGTATAAAGGGTAGGTTAGAAGGTGTCATGGTTTTGGATGGGAACCCAATTGAGGAAGCTCTTACAGTTCCAGACAGTGCATGGTAAGGACCTGTAGCCAGCAATATGTAGTGAGAAAGGGTGGACAGTATTTAATGAATGACTGCGTAAGGGAGGGGATTGAAAGGGAAGATATTTGAGATGCTTTCCCAGTGTACAGTACTATTGTTAGTTCTGAGAGGGCCATGCTGATTGAAATGAAGATAGCTATTTACTCAAAATAGGAATTTAAGAATTGTATATACAAGATAAATAAACCTATGAGCCAAATACACCTAGGCAATAAATATAGCCACAGAACTTGGACCAAATCACTGAAGTGGAGGGTTAGAAAGTCATCAGGAAGAGAAAGAGTGTGTGGGGAAATCTAACCAATGGCTAAGAGTGCTCAGTGTGAAATGCGGTCTTGAAAGACAGGTGAAAGAAAATCTGAATGACAAACACTGACTGTGTAGGGATCTGATTTCAGGTGACTGAATGATTCCAGCTAACCTTTGAAGGGAGCAGGGCAATCTTATTGGCTTTTTTATGTCCTATGTGCCTTATTCCTGCTTTTGTTTTAACTTTCCAAATGGTTCTCACTATTCCTCCATTTTCATTTCTAGCCTCCCTGTTTCTTTTCTTCTAATTATTTCAATCAGATTATTCATGCTATAAAACCGAAAGCGTAAAGTCTTGTAACATTGTTTTAAAGGCAAGATTTTATGTAAAGAGATGTTTATAAACTCAGAGTGCTGTGACCTGCCTGAAGAGGCCGGGATGCCCATTGGCCATCTTATGACAGAGTCAATCACAAACTCTTGCCGATCTGCATGCTTTAATTGCCATCGGGCTCTTCTGTAATATTTACTGAAATTTAGGAGTAAACAGCTTGTGTTTTTAGTTTGGAAGCAGTCTTACTTACAGAATCGAGTTAAAAGATACTGCCATGCAACTGGAATATATACACAGAGTGTATTTTGCCTAGATCAGTCCCGTGCAGGCTCCCTGGTTGTGGGTTGAGTCTTGTGCACCCCTTATGTGCCAGGTTAGTTGATTCAGCCTAGATCAGTTCCATGCAGGCTCCCTGCTTGTGGGTTGAGTCTCGGTGCACCCTTTATGAGCCCAGGTTAGTTGATTCTGTGTTTTCTTGTGGTGCCCTTGACTCCCCTAGCTGTCTCTGACTCTTTTACTGGCTTTTGAGACCCTACTGTGTTGTTTTGCCCCAGCTTTAGTACATGGAGTGGTACTTAGTCTTACAGCAACTTAATATGTCTTGTTTTGTTGATACTCTTGGGAAACCTGCCCCATTTCTAAACAGAAACTGAGGAGGAGTGGATTGGGGGGGATGGGAAAATGGGGAGGTGTGGGGAGGGACTGGGAGGAGAAGAGGGAGGGGAAATTGCTGCCTGGATGTAAAATAATACATACATTTATTAAAGAAAATATATTGTAGAGGACTTTCACTTTAGAACTTACACAGGCTCTGCCCAATAATTCTGGAGACTGCTGCCTCTCTTCAAGAATAGACACAGTACTTTGCAAAAATCACTAAAAACAATCACTATTCTGAGGCTCACACCAGGCAATTCCTAGGTGAATTCTAACCACTCAGTACTCTTGACAACACTGTTTTCAGTTTCTCCTCACTCTTACTATTCTGTGTCACATTGAACTACAAAGTTCGGTCCAGTGTGTTTCATTCTGTTTGGACAGTAAGATTTCAGCTAGGTGTAACTTTTCCTAAAGAACAGGCTTTCTACTGTATGCAGCACATGCCTCTGTATCTTTTGGCAAATCCGAGCTGGGAGACAAAAAGTGCTGGACACACCTGATTTAGTGTCCTTGTCTTTAGTCCAACTCTTTTCAATAAGGAGACTTGTTTTCATTAACTAATGACTTGCTAACTTATTTTCACAGCAGAACCTCCCATATAAACTAATCTTTATGATAATAAAGGTAATAATGGTGATATGCACAGATATCCTTTATATTCACGGGCATGTGCTATGTTACTGCAGGCATTTTTCTGGGATGTTCTTTTTTGATATATGTTTTTCATTTATGGTTTACTTTTTGGCCCTAAATTTTGGTAATTATAAAAGATCAGAGTAACATGGTGGCCATCAAAAGCTACTCAAATGTATTTTATGAGAAGCTTTATGTTAGTAATTTTTTTTAAAGAATATGATGTCTCCTTTTTAAAAAGTCTGTAATTTGTAATTAAATTTGAAAAATTTGTTTAGAATTTGGAAATTGTAGTAGTGTACAATCAAAGTGGGTTTTTTTTTGTTAATTTCAGAAAAAGTTAAACTGAGTAAAATAATGACCGATATTGAATCTGTGAGTAAGAAAATGGAGAAAGAAAAGCAACTGAACCTCAGAAAATCCAGGTAATGTGGAATTATTTAACGTGGGAAATACAGACACTTACATGCACACGAGAGAAAGAGAGAGAGAGAGAGAGAGAGAGAGAGAGAGAGAGAGAGGAGAGAGATTGAAGGAAATTGAGAGATTTTCTTCTTCTTTGCCAATATTCTCTCAACAACTGCAGTGGTTCCTCAGGCCCATTAACACTCCATGCATAAGGCCAATTTATCTTTCTGCTCTAATCTCAAAGCATATCAATTATCAAAATTTTAGCTTTCAGTTCAATTAACTTTTGAACTGGAGGATGTCTGAGTAGCTAAGCAAACCATCTGGGTTTTACAGTGCATAAGCTCAAATCCAATTTGTGTCTTTCTTGAGAAAAATGCCATATTTTATGATAATATTACATAAGTTTGGAATTTTAATAACTCCTTTGCAGCAATTATGGAGCAGAATAAGTTATGATTTTCCCTTTAAAATCTAATAATTAAAGGTTAGTCTTTCTCTAACAGAAGGTGAGAATGATTCCACAGAACATGGTTAGAATGCAAAGATTTGGAACATTGCTTCTGCTCTCCAGTGTCTAGAGATAGCTCAGCTACGCTTCTGGATTGTTCTACAGGATCATACCATCTTTCAGATAACTTTACAAGGGTGTGCATGAGGGTAGACTGTAAGGCTTCAGATAAAACCTCCAATAACCCTTATTTTTTTTAGAACTTGTAGAATATTGTAGAATACTCCTTTGTTAAAACGACTTTTTCATGGCTTATTTTACAGCAATTCATTAACACAGTATGTAAAGAAAATTTCAGTAATTGACACAATGCACAAATAATAGAAATTGGAGGAGATATTATTTTGCTTTAAAGAATATCGTGACTTCCAAAATCTGTTTCCAAATTGTACTTCACACTAGAAGACCCTTGTCTGGTGTAACCCTTTTCTTTGATTAAATTTATTACAAGCCTCAGATTTGAACAAGTGGAAAGTGTACCCAGCTTCAGGGGAAAAACTGGTTTTATTTACAATAGGGGAAGATTAATTACATTTTTCCTCTTTCTATATTTGGCCAATTTAACTGAAGACACAGGTTAGCTAAACTAAGTCATGGCTGTGGAGAGGCTACTTGATGAAGCAGTTAAAGAGTGTAGACTATCCAGCGAGCTTTTAGTGACCAGAGAAGTTGACTGAGTTCATTTAAACCTCTTCTTACTTTACTTATATGAAGCCTGTAAGCCAAAGAACACAAATGGCGACTTAGGAACAAGTTGGCCACTTGTTAATGAGAAACCTGAGCAGAAATAATGTCTTTTATTATGTTGTTTTTCTCGGTAGGGTTAACTGTATCTCAGGGACTTTTTTTCTTCTAGAACTGGTGAGAGCTAAAGGTCTCCTAATACACCTAGCTCCAATATTTAATGAAAACATGTCCTGTTTAATGTGGAAGATCAACCTTGTTGGAAGTTAAGAGCTGGTCCGTGCACCCCAGTGACAGACTGGGGTGCCTGAAGCACGAGCTTCAATCCACTCCGGCTGCCTTGTCTTTATTTATAGCTAGTTATTGTGGTAGTTTGTTCCTACCTTAAGCAGTTAATCTTCATTTTGTTAATGTTGGAATGTGATGGGAAAGATAAGCAAGTGTTTGGAGATATGGTGATTCAGGTTCTTTAAAAACCTGTGTTTTAGTCGATTTAAAAAAAGGCACCAGGTTGAGCTTTTATTGAAATCTGGCTCTCAATATAATGCAGAGAAGAAGAGGCCATAGGCAACAAAAAGAAGACAGAAGCCCAGCCAGGCTGTCAGCCAGGCAGTCAGGTAGAGGACGGCCAACAGGCTTTCAGATTAGAGTCTGGGAGGGCTTCTGCCAGGTCACACAGAGGCTTACGGGAGAGTCATTGCTCTCCTGGATTTCCTTTCAAAGTGCCTTGGGAAGAATCTGTGGGTAAGATGACAAACAGCATGTTTAAGTATATTATAAAAATATTTACTGAAGAAAAGAAAAAAGTTGCCAAAAATAAGGAATATGAAAGAATTTCATAAATTATGATGTTTATCTTTGCCTACATTTTTCTATTTTGGGCATGCAAAGAGCAAACAAAATGGAATGCTTTCATATTTTCACATTTAAGCTTAAGAATATGAGGTTCTTTACTATATCCTTAAATTTTAAATTAACGTTGTCATGTGTAAGAATCCTGAATTTAGGACAGCGATGGTGGATGTGGATACATTCTAAATGTTACTTTCCAATCATGGAAAAAAATTCACTGACCTACTTATTTTTTAGTGCTGATTTTTGGTGTTAGTTGACAGAAATGCAACTGCCATGCTTTCCAATTCAGTGCATTTCTGTCAACACACTTCTGTATTTCAGGCAAGTGAGAGTGGACGTGGTCCTCTAGTTTTGACATCAATGAGCTTCTTATCTTGTATTGGAGAATCTATGCTTGGAACCAAAAGGAAGTTCTGCACGGCTTTCCTCCCGCTCTCCTCTTCCTCTCACCTCATGCTGAAGTGTTGGCATGCATTCTAACATCCAACAGCTGTATTGAAACAGCTCGGAATCCTTGCTTGATGGTTTTCAAATGTTTTGCTAAAAGGGCCAATTGTAAATTTTTGTCATAATTATTCATTTGTAGAGGATGGTTGAAAAACATATTTGTCCTAATTTGGAGATTAAACAGTATTTAGCCTTGGTCCACATGCTAGAAAGTAAAGCAAACTGTCTAATGAATGCATTTTACCTTATCTTTAGTAGGATATAAATGAATTCTAAAATTTCAAAAGAAATTACTCAAGTCCTTGACCAAATCCATGGATATGTCATATGCATAATAGAAATGGGATGGGTTCATCTTACAACTTATTTACTCTTTAGTTAGCGCCTATACCCTATCTGATATCAAGCACTAATCAGGATGGTAATAGCCTTTTCCCCATATATGTTATTTTTTTTCCTATTAAAACATTTTAAACTTGTATAACTCTGTAAAACTTGTATATCACCCAGATTGCAATGCCATCTCTAGGCATTTATACCAAGCAGGTAATTGAGCAGGTACACAAATGAGAATGCTCAAAAGTTTTTTGAGAGTTTTTAAAAATAGCGAAAAAATGTGAGCACCCCAAATATTCATTTGAAGCTGACAAACCATTAGTATATTCAAACCATACAGTACAATGTGAAATAATGGTCCAATACAAAAACACACATCTATCTATGTTAATGAAGATGCCCATAGTGTAATATTAAGTGCAAAACTACTTAGAACGTCTGTTTTCATTTATAAACACATAAACATTGTAAAGATATGGAATGTATTATACAGTCTACCATGTCAAATGATGTTAGAATAAAATAATGTGCTACAATTATTGAAGCCTCACTGCCTGATTTCACATCAGAGCTCCACCTATTTCTCCTTGGGATAATCTGACCTACATGACCCCTGTGCATTGAAGTTCCTTCAGGTGTAAAATGAGGAGATTAGTAGACATGGTGGCAGAGGTTTGTCGGGAGGATTAAACAGGCAGGACACACAGGAGGCTCTGAATAGTTCTTAGGCCAGGAGAAACTCTAGGTTTGTAATAATTAACAAAATATCGGAGAAATAGTATTAGAGAAGATTTTTCTTTCCTTTTGCTTATTTATATTTTCTAAATTGTCTAAATGGCCCTTGACTGTAGATCCAACAGATATCTTTAAATCTCTATAAGTGATATTGGGAAAATTATATTATTTAAAATATCTTATGAAACAATGAAATAGATACTACACTTATTTTCCTGATTTTTTGTTATGTAGGACTTGCTCAGAAAAGAGATATTCCTACTTTTAATCCACACTCAGAACCAGCAAAGTTTAGTATTATTATTTTAATACTAGTTACCCTGCAGGGTGCCAAGGAAGCCACAGGTCTAATACTGTTGTCACAAGCATCTGAGGCTAACATTTAACCCTGTAATATTAGGCTTGGGGACCCGATTACAAAACAACAGATACCGAATCACTCAAGTTGTAACTCTGTGTTTTGGAAACAGAATGTTGGAACCCTTCCATTCCCATCTTGGCTTACCTTTGCTGAATCTGACCTCTTCTATGGGACTTCTGAGAGAACCTGGTGAGTTTCTCTAGGCTAATGCTGGGAGCAGTAGTGATTTTCATGATGTAAATCAGTCGGTATTGAACAAAATCACTTGTTTATTATTTCATTTGAAAAAACTGTGTCGAGAGATAAAGTATTTGGGGGGACAACTACTGAGAACTAATTTTTGTTACTTTACTTAAATTTGAAAAGTTGGTTCTTTTAAAAATGTGTGTAAATGTAGGATATTGTGGGAAATAATGAAGATAAATTCTTTGAATTTAAAAGAGGTTTCCAGTAATAATTCTTCTGAGTTACTGTTTTCAAAATATATAAAATTTCTTCAAAAGAAGCTACATATGGCATTCTAAAGTCCTTTAAGTACAATCAGAAAGCTTGGATCTTAGAGGCTATTTTGAAGACCTTGGAAGGGTATTGACTTAGAAAACTATGCTGTAGTTTTCCTTCCTTGCAACTTGCTACTCAGAGTCTCAATATTCAGGTTGGTTTGTTTTCTTCTATATGTACAAAGACTATCTAGACAAAAGCTCGGCCATTGTCTTTTTAGCGTTGCACAAAAGATAGAAGACCATTCTAAAATGCTAGTTGAGAGAATCTCAGCTACAGATTATTGTGAAATTGAATGAAGATTGCACAATTGCAGCCACCCTTGCAATACTTTCAAGACTTGTTAAAAGTTCCTCCAATACAAAAAATCTTTTAAAATACCTGAAACATGCACTAAAGTAACCACAGCTTCATGACAGCAAAAGACTCTGTCCAATTCACAGCCTCCTGCCAAGGGAATAAAATACTTGATGCTATTTTTCAATGATTTTTTTTTAACGTAACGAGTGTTAGTGGACTAAAGTAATGGAGTCATTAAACCAAATGAAATGTGTCACAGTTTTCTGCCTTAAGTCCAGACTCCAGCAGACTGTGTGGGTCATCCCAGAGACCTCTCAGCTTTCATCTCTCATCTCAAGCAGTCAGAGTCAGAAGGCTGCATGTTCTGGAAGCATAAACATTGCAATAAATCTGTAATTTCTGGATGCTATAGGTTTTCTGTTCCTTTTTCCTTTAAAATAAAATGGATCTCTAATATGAGTAGATATGTAACCAATGTTTTATTGTGTGAAGTTTTGTTGAATTTTGTTTTGTATTTAGCTAAACCATTATCTTTTAATTGAAATAGAATTTTCTAAAACAACAGAAAGCAACTAAAGCCGAAATGTCTAACGACTTGGGACCAGCAATTTATTCTGTAAAATAAAATGTGAAAAAATGTTGATTTTTGTTCTAAAATAATTTATATACATTAAATGCATTGCATCTTTGTTGAAAAACTGAATGTTTTTAAAATGCTTTTAAAGTTCATTTTAATTACATTTTCTAAAACTCTGTCTGACATTGGCTTCTACTCTATTGTTATTATAAACCTGTTTGCTGAACCATGTCTCCAGTAATTGCAGGAAGCTTTCACTGAAGTTCCTTAAAAAACAAACAATGTTACTTAAGCAATCAAAGAACATAAGTATGTTCCCTCTGGAGTGCACAGTAATTTTATATAATCTTAAACATTTCCAAAATACTAACAAATCATCATTTTTATTGAAAAAAAAGAAAGAAAGCTAGGTCATAGGAATGAAGATCAATCCTAATTTCTATCCATTAGATTACAATTTAAGTAGATGACGAGGATATCATGCCTTGAAGTCTCAATGTTTAAACCGGCATCAGAGAACACTTGCTAGTGATGATATTGGAGTTCTGATTCTTCTAGAATCTAAGAGGAAGCCTTATCAAAATTGCTGAATCACTTGTGACTGTTTCTTCATGGGAGAAACATGGTGGCTAATAATATCACCAAGCTGAGAATGTTTAGGCATGCTTTGAGGTGTGTGGCACAATCTGGTGCTCACCAAAATTGAGCTGCAGTTACTAGTGACTGTTTCAAATGAATGACCTCAAAGGCACAGTAGGAGCAAACAGCTGGTTTGCCAAGAACTATCTCAGCACCTGTCCTACAAGAGGAACCAGCTACACTAGCACCTTCACACCATGAACACTGTGGCCCTGTTTCTGCTGTTGTCATGGCAGCCATACAAAAGGAACCAGTTGCACTAGCACCTTCACACCGTGAACACTGCGGCCCTGTTTCTGCTGTTATCATGGCAGTCATCTTGCTCAAGACCATCAGTCTACCCTTTGGCTGTCTTACTTCAGTCTGTTCAGTAAGGAACTGCTAATTTGATATTCCAACAATCACCCTTTCGCCAGTGATTTCAAAACTGTTTCTTACCTTTCTGAGACAAAGAAAGTGGAACCATGGTATGAACTCTTACTTAGAAAGGTGTTCTTTTATTAAAAAGAAATTATTTAGCTTTATTTTATGTGCATTGGTCTGAAGGTTTCAGATCCCCTGAAACTGGAGTTGCAGATAGTTGTGAGCTGTCATGTGGGGACTGGGAATTGAACCCTGGTCTTAACTGCTGAGCCATCTCTCCAGAACCAAGGGAGGTGTTCTTAACAGACAGTTTCAAAATAAATTCTAGAAGGAGAGGGTTTAGTCAAAGAAACCCACATTGCCTTAAGGAACAAATGTTGTGTCTTGATAAGGATACCTTCAGCTTTGTGGGCTTTAAGTTTCATGAGTGTTTTAGGAAAGGCATAGATGGTCAGACAATTTCCTTTATTTGTGGCTGGTTCTTAGTTTCTCTACAGACTGTTAACAGTAGAATGACAGTAACATCCCCCAAGTTCACAGTCTTCAGACCCTCAGAGAAAAGCCCTGAGTATTGCCTACAACTCTGTCTGATACAGCCTCCACCGGAGGTGGGTTTGCAGTCACTGGAGGATGCTAAAGACAACTGTCAGTAGCTCCACACCTCTCGTCTGACCTCACCACCACCTCTTCCACTTTGGAATCTGTTCACTCTGCTTCTGGAGCTCATATTGAATGACAAACAAACAAACAAAACAAAACAAAAATCTAAATCCTTTTACCTTCTTAAAGAGTTCCCTCCACACTTTAGATCCAACTGAAGACAAGTTTGAGAGCATTTCTTCTGTGGCTCTCTAAAGTGGCACTATTTCTTTCTCCCATCCTTAACACACATCTAGGGGTGGAGATGGGAGAGTGTCTTTCTTGATCCTCATCACTATTGCTTCCAGACCATCTCTGCCTCTTTCCTAAAATTCTCAGCTTTGGCTTTCATGTCATCCAATGACATTCTCCATTACCTTTCTTCTTGGAATAATTATTAGTTTGTGCCCATCTTCTCATAGCTTAAATTTAGCTTCAGGACCCTTGTTAGTATCTCTAATGCTTGTCATCATTCTTGGCCATTTTGCTGTTGAGCTAAGTAAAATCTCTTGACTCATTAGCTTCTCAATTCTTTTTGTTCTTTTCCTCCAGTGATTTTACTTTCCGTCCATCATCCCATATACTCTCATGTAATCTTAGAGAGAGCTAGGTAGTACCTCCAATATTCTACTTTGAAAAATGCTACGGAAAATGCATGGCATTTCATAAAGTCCAACAGCATTAAAAAGTTAGTTCCATGAGGGGCCTTGGGAGTGAAAAGATCAAGTTTTTAATTTCTTCTCTAGCTATTTTAACTTCATCAGTGATTTAATCCAGCTCATGATTTCATGCACTAGTTTACATATTTTCTAAGTCAGTTGTACTATTTATTACATTCTGTAACTCAGTTATATTGCATCACATATAGCTTATGAAAATAATTTTATACACAGTAGTTCAAATATTTTCTTTCATTTCGAATATAGCTTTGAGGGTGTTTATTTGTTTTTTCTTTCTTCTTCTGAGAAGGTGAATACTACCCAAGGATTAAAAATCCTGGTTAAATATTAAAAGACAATTAAAAAATTTGACTCATTCTCAAAAAAACCACAAAAACAAGTTGGCAAACCTAAGAAAGCCAGATTCCATAGGGGCCTCATGTTCTTTAAAGGTGTTTGTTTTCATGACTCATGCTTTTTCTTGTTTGCCCAGAACTTCTACTTAAAACCTGTGATAATAGGAAGCCCAACCACACCCCACCCATTCTCTCTCTTTCATTAGTTATCTCTCAGTCAACCAATATATGTTTGTAGGTGCATACATGTGGATATCTTTTACATATGAATATATATGACATAATCGTCTCCTCAATATGGAGGAATCTTCTTCTTGTAAGATGAATGACATTTTTGTTAGGACAACAAAGTATTAGACCCATGGACTCTCAAAGAATATTTCATGAATGACTTGTATTAGCAGCACAGATAGTTTCAAAGACTCAAACTTCTTCTCATTATACTATATTTGTATTACATAAATAATACATACATAAAGACATATTAAGGATGTTCAGAAAAAAAACTTTTTCTATTAATACTCTGTTTTCTTACAATCATGAGTTGTTTTATTTCTAATATTTTGCTTTTTCAATTTTTTAAAAGATTTATTTATTTATTTATTTATTTATTTATTTATTTATTTATACAGTATCATGCCTGTAGGCCAGAAGAGGGCACCAGATCTCATTGTAGGTGGTTGTGATCCACCATGTGGTTGCTGGGAATTGAACTCAGGACCTCTGGAAGAACAGTCAGTGCTCTTAACCACTGAGCCATCTCTCCAACCTCTGCTTTTTCAATCTTAAAAAACCTGTGGCAACACAAATTTGAATGTTTCCTATAGTTAGGTCTAATATTGTTTAATTAATTACACAATGTATCCATTTCATTTTCTCTCATTGATAGCCACATTATTGCCCACCTACTCCTCTGTGCTGAACAGCATCTCTTTCCCTCATCTACCCTTCTTGTGTGCCCTTCTGGAGTGGTCAACATCAGAGAGGAGAAGTCACATCCATTGTTCCAAACTTCTTGGAGGATATAAAGACAGTACAGTCAAGGGAGGGAGCCAGAGATTCTCTATTCACTTTAGAAGTTTAAAATAGATAAAAACAACATTCTTGATAGGTTTAATTTTATACCAAGGTCTACTATATAACCTCAAGTGGATT